GCACTTTGAGGTGAGGCAGGAGGATTAGAAGTTCAGAGTTATCCTCAGCACAAATCCAAATACTACGACTACTACTACTAGTAATTATAATAATAAATGATTTCCCAATGGCATGTACCTGGATTCTAGGTACTTGAGGGGCTGAGGTGGGAGAATTTCTTGAGCCACACCATGTCCTAAAAAAATAAAAACTGAGGGGCTGGAGAGATGGCTCAGTGGTTAAGAACACTGGCTGTTCTTGTAGAGGACCTGGGTGGTTCCCAGCACCCATAAGGTGGTTGACAGCTGTCCATAATTCCAGTTCCAGGGGATCTGAAGCCCTCTTCTGACCTCCTTGGACACTGTATGACACAGATACACTTACTGCATACATCCAGGCAATACACTCATACACATAAAATAAAAATAATAAAGTATTTTAAAAATAAATAAAAACTAAAAATAAGCAAGTAAATAAACACCAACAAATCACTGATTCCAATTTTTCTATTTGGAAGTGCTTCATAATAATGATAAAGGGAGTCTAAGAATAGCTACTGTTATTTCTCAAAGATCCATTCCAGAAATCAAGTGCAATACTGCATGTAAGTGTTCATTTAAAAGTGAAATCTATAAGCTGATGAATCTTCCTGTCATGATCCATTCAGGTTGTTTTAAGAATATAGAGATGGACTGGAGATGTGTCTTGGTTGCAGAGCACTTGCCTGGCATGTGTGGGGACCTGAATTTGACTGCTAGTAGTGAGGAAAAAAATGGAGCCAGCTGGGCGGGATGGGGCATGCCTTTAATCCCAGCACTGGGAGGCAGAGGCAGAAGGATCCAAGGCCATCCTGATCTGTGTAGTGAGATCCAGGTCAGCTAGGAGCACATAGTGAGACCTTGTCTCAAAAAACAAAAATGAATGAATGAATAGATGAAGCTAGTCAAGGGTAATAGATTCGCACTGGAAATCATTTCTTATCACTGCTGAGAAATGGAGCTTGGAGAGTGCAGGATAGTGGCCTTATTAATTGCATCAGTTTAATTTGGGGGGAGGGTTGGTTCATTTTTGTGTGTATCAGTGTTTTGCCTGCATGTATATAAGTGCACCTGTGTGTGCAATACCCATGGAGTCCAGAAAAAGGCATCAGATCCCCTGGAAATGGAGCTCCATGTGGAACTGCTGGGTGTAAAACCCAGGTTCTCTGGAAGAGCAGTCCCCCAGTTGAGTCAGTTTAGGCAAGACCTTGTTAACTGCATCATCAAGTGTTTAACCCAGAAATGATGCACTCAGGACTGTAGACCTTGACATTCTACTTGTTATTCATTTCAACATGAAGTAGTGGCCCTTAGATTTCCTCTGGGTTTTTTTTTTTTTTTTTTGTCTTTTTGAGACAGACTCTCCGTGTAGTTCCAGCTGGTCTGAAGCTCAGTATGTAAACCAGGCTGGTCTTGAACTCACAGAGATCTGCTGGCCTCTGCCTCCCTGGTGCTGAGATCAAAAGCATGTGCCACCACACTCTGCTCATACCCAGTTTCTAAAAAAATGTTTTGAAAGGCAGCTGTGCTGAGTGCTAAACCACCACCACAGGAGGGTTCAGTGGGGTGGGGAATGGAAGGGCGGGCAGAGGAAGGAGACAGGGGAGGGATCAGCAATACTAAAGCACTTTGAAAAAACTCATATGGAAGCCTACTACTGTAGAAGCTTCTTAAATACAGATATACACACATATACAATATAAAAAGTTTAAGTATAATTACCCTATAATGGGAGTTCAATGTCCCTACCAGATACCACAGGCTAGCCAATAAAAACTCCAAAATGCCAGAAATGGGCTCTGTCTTTTGAGTTGTTGACCATAGGGATCCCATATACCCTCAAACTATATTGGTTATTGTAATTGTTCTTGGTTACCCACCGGAACTTGATGGTAAAACCCTACTGTTGAAGATACTACATACATTGTTCATAGAGCAACCCAAGGAGAGCTCATGCTGGTATTGATCTCAAAGCTTCATCTCTACCTGACTAGCTTTTGTAGTCCTAGAGGGTGGTGTGCATGCTCCTGGAAGGCTCTTACCCAGCTGTGAACCCTGAGACCTCTAGTAATGATTGGCCTCTGGCAAGACACGTCCACCAGTGAAACAGCGGCACAAATGCTGTGGGAGTAACAAGCACCTTGGATTTAAGGCCTGCTGCACAAGGTGGAGTCCACTGGAGTGCTCAGCCCTAAATGGGGCACACACATCACACCCTTTCCTGCCAGGGCTTAGGGAGTATTTCAGAAAGATGAGACAGAAAGACTGTAAGAGCCAGAGGTGCTAGGTGATTACAAGGAAATT